TTAGCTATATCACATCGTTTTTTATTGGTAAAGGAAGCAAGAGTTCCCATAGAAATCAACAGAACTTTGACAGGAAAACGGACAATCATAGTTAATTATTGGAGTCGAGCGCACCTTGCCACGAGCGGAGTTTGAACACACACACCAGTGTTGATAGGTTAGTGATCAATGTAGATGAATTACATTTTACTTTACAATGAGCTTACCGTCATACTTTCCTGTGACTACGCCACACACCAACAAGAAATCAAATTGTAAGCAGGGGTCTGGAAGTCGACCGCCCCTTGAAACCAAACAGGGGGGTAAAGGGGGGGGGGGTGGGGGGGGGGGGGCGCAGAAACTTATCAGTGGGGCTGTAAAAAAGAAATACAATGAAAACTAAATTGTAAGTTGCTGTTTGGGATGCATAAATACTAGAGATGTCAACTCGGTGAATATTTACTAATCGAGCACTCGTTGGATTTACCGAGCAATACTCGAGTACTCGCTCGGAAAAACATCTACAAAATAGAAACACAAAATTATACCCATTTTACGTATTGTGGGACGTTGTCTTATGGACGTAAAACCATCAACATTATTACCCAGAACTAGATAATAGTCCAATGAATTTTATACTATAATTAATAGCTCATTTACCACATGTACTTATTATGTAAACTGGCAATAATCTAATCAATTAATTAATAAACATCTAGAGAAAAATGATTACTCAAACAATAGTATTTGGGAATCGTATAAAAACACATTTAATGATCAACAAAAGGTGATGATTAGAACTTACTGATATCTTTAACCATTTTCTGAGGGTCGACACAGGGTGCAACAATTTTTTTATTATTCAGAAATATTATCTTGTCAACTTTCTGTGACGAGTCGATTTCTCAACTTTGTTACGTAACTAACAGTCCTGCTAATGAAAATATTTGCTCTGATGGTACAGAGGTGGTGGAATGACTAAGACACGATTAGCTAAAAGTTTAAGCCTTGAAAAGATGCTCTTGTTCATAGCCTACCTATGTTTGGATAAATTTTAAATCTTATTTCTTTAAGAAGGCAACAACATTCTAACAGGAAACCGATTAGTCGAGTATCATTATGGTATTCGATACTCGGTACTACCGAGCGATACTCGAGTACTCGAGTACTCGTTGACATCCCTAATAAATACACAGTTACGTCCGGTAGCAAGGAGGTAAACTTTGGTTCAGTAATAAAGAAACATGACGCAAACCAAATTGTAAGTTGCTGTTTGAGATACATAAATAAAGTTACGTCTGGTAGCAAGGATGTATACAGGGAGTGTGTAATAAAGAAACAGGACTAAAACCAAGTTATAAGTTGTTGTTTGGGATGCATGGATACGCAGTAACGTCCGGTAGCATGAGGGTACTAAAGAGAATGTCATACTATTTGTATGTTATAGAATCCTTTGAAAACTTGTATTGCTTTTCCTGCAATTTCACTTCTAATTTACTACCTACTGGTAAGTTAATAGGAGTTTAATTTTCCTGTTTCCATCCGATGCAAAAGTGTTAATTACCTGGTCAATATCAAGTTAAATTTCCTGATGGTCATGAATTGATGACAGACCTTTGAGTCTTTCCTCCAACATCGTTGATCTAAGGTAGGTTTTTATTTGTTTAAGATCAATATATGATCTCTTTGCAGTAGCAGATGTTACTGGCATAGTCAGTAGTAACTTCACAGCTGTATAAATTTTAGCGTACAATTCAGGTTTTGCATGCTTCAGGGAGTCAATCGGTGTACTTTGCTTATCAACAGCATTTTGCCATTTGCATTTCCACCTGACCATTTCTGCCCTATATGCTGCAATTTACTCTGGAGGTAGATCTCCTGCAAATGGCATAAGACCTTAAGTTCTGTTTCTTTAGTGAGAAAGGTAAGTTTTGAAGGGATTAAGTATTGAGCGAATAACCTTTCTTCGAGAATAACAAGCCTCATTTCAATTTCATTTGCAATATGGTCGAGCAATTGGTAATATAATGATCGTCGCCAATACTCTTCAGGTGTATCAGCTGGCATATTATCCCGATGCTGTTGTCTTCCTGTCATTCTTGGTTTGCTCGGTAGTACAGTCTGCTCTTCTGCGAGTTTGAGGATGTCCCCATATAACTCTTGCCAGACGGTGTCATCCTGCCTTATTCAACGAAGGCTGACAGCTGAAAATAACTGTCTCAGCTTCAGACGGGCCAAGTCAATGGGAGGTCTTTGTAGCAGATTATATAAAACCAAACTGTACTGAAGTACATGTTCTGTTACAACCAGGGTAACAATGAATCCAAAATCGTGAATAGCCAGTTTCAGTTAATTGGCATTTCTATCACTGTCTGTCCCTTAGTCATCCAACTTGTCAAAGATTAAGGCATGAACAGATTTGAATGTGTTTAGAGCGTCAACTTTACTTGACTATCGAGTCTCGCACATTTCCTTTATTTTTCTACGCCCGTCAAAAGCCTCTAACTGCCGCCCGTTCTAGCATGGTTTCAAACCTACGTTATCTTTTAGAAAAATAACTGAATGCAAATGAAATATCATTTACGGTATTACTGTATTGCGGATAATAGGGAGTTGGCATGATTTGAAAACAGCAAAATTTAAGCAATGTGAATGGTAGTGCAAATTTTGGGCTTCCGGTATTTCTGCTTCAATACGTTTGCGAACACCAGAGAATTTACCTGCCATAGTAGCAGCTCCATCTTAAACTTGGCCTCTCATTGCCTAAGTCATGATCCCTACTCACGCAGTTTGTCCATAATAGTAGCTTTCCAGTTGTTGAACTTGCCTCAGCAAATCCAAGAAACACCTCTTTCACACACAAATCTCCGTTGCCATCAGTACCTACATAACGGACACACAAACACATTTGCTCTGTGGTAGAAACATCAGTAGTTTCACCTATAATTACACTGCAGCAATCAGCAGAATTACACTCCATGACGATACGTTGTCGTTACAGTTTGCCGCAAATATGAATTAATTCATTTTGTATTGTAGGCGATAGGTATCTTGCGTCTCGGGGGCTGTTTTGTAAATGATCAGCTAAAATCTGATCAGTTTCAACTCTATAGTTGATGAGAGCTATGAAATTACTTTTTCCTACGGTATGAACTCGCAAAGGATGTTCTGTTTCCAACAAAGATAAATAGTCTTCAGTATACTTTTCAAAAAACGATATCTGGGTAACAATAAAGACTGCTTTACACAAAGATCATATACCACACAAAAAATCCAAGAAGAAAAATAAACACCCATAGATAAAAGGAAATTTAAAAAAGCTCACAAAAAGTCAACAATGACTCTACAAAAGAATGAAGAAAACCAAGGATTCTAAAGTAAAGGAAGAATACAAAGCCTTAAAGAAAGAGGTGCAAAAAAACAACAACGAAATGCATACTGGCAATACATTAAAGATATCATTACTCCTCAAAACGACGAAAGACCATTTGAGGGATCAAAGAAATTCTGGACTTTTGTCAAACATAAAAGAAAAGAAAAGATTGGTATAACATCACTTATGAAGGAAGGAAAACTTCACAGAACCAGCTGATAAGGCGAACATCCTTAATGCACAATTTAAATCTGCATTTTTTGAAAGAAGTACATTCACACAAGATCAGTTTATATCCTCTATGCGAATGAAATTAAAGAATACGATACCAACTATGAAAAACATAACCATAACTACAGAAGGCCTAGAGAAACTGCTAAAACACCCGAGCCCAAACAAATCACCCGGGTCGGATGGTATATCACCAAGATTTCCTGAAGAATTACACAGTGAGACAGCACCTCTTCTGTACAGATACTGTTTGCAAAATCCGTAGAAACCGGAGTGGTTCCAACAAACTGGCGTTCAGCAAATGTATCTCCAGTTTTCAAGAAGGGTAACAAGTATACTGCAGCAAACTACAGGCCCATATCCCTGACGTCAATATGCTGCAACGTCATGGAACACATAATTGTATCATCAATTATGACCCATGATGAAAACAACAACATTCTTTACAAGTTATACATGGCTTCAGGAAAGGCAGATCCTGTAAAACTCAACTCATAGAATTCGTTAACATGAACGTGTGACAACAAACATATGTGCTTATAATGGACTTTGCCAAGGCCTTTGATAAGGTAAACAATAGCGTACTTGTGAACAAATTAAAAGCTTATGGAATTAGAGGCAACACAAACACGTAGATAAAGAACTGGCCGAATAGAAGAACACAAACTGTCGTATTAGCAGGATGCAATTCAACATCAGTCACTGTAGATTCATGAGTACCTCAGGGCACAGTCCTTCGTCAAAAGATCTTTCTTTATTACATCAATGACTTGCAAAAAGACTTAAATTCTACAGTTCGCCTGTTTGCAGATGACACCATCGCCTACCTGACAATAACATCCAAAAACTGTGGAAAATATTACAAGGAGACCTTAATAAACTAGCAAGATGGGAACAACTATGGTGCATGAAATTCCAACCTGACAAATGCAACGTTTGAGGGAAACAAACAAGAAGACGTCAATTAAAACATCATATCATCTCCATGGTCACAATTTGGAAGGAGTACAGGCAGCCAAATACTTAGGTCTCATCATTCAAAACAACCTGAAATGAGATCAACACTTACAGCAGATAACGGATAAAGCAAATAAAACACTCGGATTTTTGCAGAGAAACATCAGAATTTCATCAACAAAAGTGCGACAAGGAAGAAATATACATTCAAACGCATACCAAGTATCATACTAACGTATCGATGCAAACTGCCATCAATCATCTTCTAGATATTCGTATCATTGAAAATTCTCATTTTGCATCATGTACAATTTGCAACCAAACGTTTTACCAGTTTTAGGTTCCGAACTGTATGCAGCTATAGAAGATATCGCTGAGGAATTAGAAAATCATGGACTTGTACACTTTTGATTCAACAGATGTCGAAATACCTTCGATATTTAGACGGTTAAACTTTGAAATGAAGGCAGCACCAGAAGATCGAATTTCATGTGATATGAGGTCAAACTTCAACGTGATGTCTACTAATTGTTTAATTTTCACATCGGGTACAACAGGTAGGGTATGTTTTTGTAAGGTGTATATGGTGGTTATATTTAGGCCTTCAGCAACATAAAAAAATGATTGTCTTTAACAATGCGAATTATTTCAAAATGAAAACAAGTTGCATTATTTTGGTGATCAATATTTGTATATATGTACATATAAATTTATATTTGACGCGTCACTTATTACAGTACGAGCTGAAGATACAAAACAATAAAAAAAAGAAAAAGTTCACAAAAAGAAACAGAAAAATAGACCTTGGAAGCTCGATAAAAAAAAGCGAAAAGTGAATAAAAATAGAAAAAAAAATCGAAAAAAAAAACTTAGGAGGTGAAAAAAAGATAAGCGACAACAATCTTAAAAAATTGAAAAATTAAGCAAAAAAGAAACAATAATTGTCAATTGGATCTCTCCTGGAACAGATTCGATAGTAAATCCAATAAATTGTAAGGAAAGAACGAGAGATCGGTTATGTAGTAAATGTATTTCCTCACACATGTTTTAACTCTAAAAAGTTGAAAATGTTAATATACTACCTATATCTATTCATATTCATATTGTGCCCCATTGAAATGAAATCCGGAATAAGCATCAAAATACAATTAAAATGTGTTGATTGCCCACTTCCACTCACAAATGAATCATTTATTTAAATAAATCATCACGTAGGATTTATTTTTCGTGGTGGAAACAAGCTGTCATTTACCTATCAATGTATATATTTCTAAGAAGAATTGAATGAAAGGGATGTCGAATAAATCAACGATAGGAAAACAATCTAGTGGTCACCATACAGTCCAGTTAGACTTCAGAATTGGTACTTACTGCTTCTCCGCTAAATACGCCGAATTTAGGTTAATCGTCTCGGAGTCAGAAAAAGTGTGTGCGGGTTTGGGCGACTTGTCATTAATGCGTACTATCAGCTTGTGTACTACCACGTTGAAAATGTTGCCCATCATGTCGGTCTAGTACACATCAGGATTCATATTTATATCATATACATGTTCTCGTCTAATATGACCTAATATGTGCCCCTGGAGTTTAAATACCAGATCATCATCACCACAATTGATAGGTATATATAGAACATGTCTACTGCTAGGGCAAGCTATTTGTATTTGTTACTAGTATTCACCGATAGTCAGCGGACTGTCCGCTTTCTTCAGCTTAAAAACCAATTTCCATTCAAAGGTACGAAGGTATTATAATAGAAAATTCATTTTATTCCCATTGACCAAAACGGTTGTCTTATAAACCTTACTAATTGTCAGTTTGTTCTTTTATATCAACCCCTATCAATAACTCTTCATATGCGTAATTGATATTTTTTAGGTTTACCGAAACCTGTTTTTGTGACACATTTAAAGTGTTTATTTGCTGGGTTTTTATTGGCAAACAGAACCAGTACCACTTCAGATGATATACTTTACACATGTCTTCCCCTTTACCAATCTGCTGGATCAATGTTTGGAGTCGGAACTATAAGAAGATATGGTAAGCCATGATGTCATTTTTTCTAAATTAATCAAATTATTGCTACTGAGGTTTTAGGTCTCGTGAATTTCTAATTCCGATGTTTTAAAAGCAATTTCTACTTTTTAATAAACTCGCAGAACCAATGATATTAACGTTTGTTTGTTCATTGTATTTGGTGCAACAACAAAAATGAAAGTGTAAAGGTGAATTTGCATCAGACAAGTATTAATAATATGTAAGTAACTGTGTTATTTAGCAAACTTTAAGTTGTATTAATAGAAAAACAAAGGAAATTAAACTGTTTTCAAAGATGTATTTCTTTTATATATGCACTGCAATTAAGGACGTTTCGAAAGATCAAATATTGTATGAAAAGTCCTTGTAGAGCATAAATACTTAAAAAAATAAATCATACTCCTATCCTCTACCCCTGCCCCTACATATAAGATGTGGTTCTTTGGAATTCTGACCGACGATGTTGTCCATGTTTTCAATCTTGTTTATATTATCTATTTTAAAGTTAATTAATTCCTTAAAACTATTTGATTTTCCAGGAGTAATCGTAAAAAGATGTATCCCTGAACTCATTATAGATACCAGGATTAAACTTGTGTACCCCCGACGCGCGTCTACAAAAGACTCGTCAGTGACACTCGAATACATTTAAAAAAAAGCTAAATAATGTTTGAAGTTGAAGAGCATTGAGGACCCTAAATTCCGAAAAGTTTTGCTAAATAATCTATTCCTATGGGTAGAAACTCCTTAGTAGTTCAAAACTTTTGTAAAACAGTTGATTTATGATTGTGACATTTAAATGATAATTATTCCCCCACTTTAAAAAAGTGGGTGATATACTGTTTTACCTCTGTCTGTCCGTCAGTCCATCCATGAATATTTTCGTTGCAACTTTCGCAGGAACTACAATTCAAGGATTCCTGAAATTTGGTTTCAGGGTTTATATAAGTCAGCTATACCGAGTGATGCGTTTTCAGATTCAGCACTCAACAACTTCCCGTTTACCGAACACTTGTATCATTTTACACATGATAGCCAAGTTGAAAATTTTCGTCGCATTTGTCTCAGGAACTACAATACAAGGATTTCGAAAATTTGGTTTCAGGGTGTATATAATTCATCTATACTGTGTGATGCATTTTCAGATTCATCACTCAACAACTTCCTGTTTACCAAAATATTCGGGCGGGGGTATCATCAGTGGGCAGTAGCTAGCAGTTTCACTTGTTTATCCAACACAGAAGTGCTGACTACTGGACTGGTGAGAAAACATCCACCAGCAGATAGGCGAAGTTGCATGCCTTGATTAGATTTATTATTCTATTATTTTGATGAGAGATAGAAAAAATTATGTAAAAGAGCGATTGAAAACGTCAATGTTTATAATATAAATATGCCACTTATTTTACCCTTAAGGAATAACAATAGTTCTGTCAGAAAGATTTTTTGCCAGCAGGTTTTTCCAGGAATGCCGTCAGCACAATGTCACCATAATTCAGTACATAGGAGAAATGTGCCACTACTTAGTCAATAACCCCAAAGTAGGTCATGTGTGTTTTATTCTGTTGGTAAGGTAAACTGTCTTTGTTATGGATTTAGACCATTGTGTTACATTTTGTACTTTATCATAGTGCCTGCTTTCATAATTACGTTCAACAGGTTTCAACGTGGAGCCGTTAAAAAAATCTAGAATGTGTGCTTCCACATGTACATCCAATTTTGTAGATTCCCATGATACTGAACTTAGAAAATGACCAGCAGTATTCCCGATCGATAAACTATTTCGTGTACTGTAATCAAATCTTACAATAGTTTTCAGTTTGTTTTTTCATTTAACTTTTTCATTTAAGTATTTTTACAAACCTTTTTTACTGAAACTAGATCCAGATCATTAACACCAAGTGTTTGATTGTGAGTGTGGATTATTACGGTGCTTATACATCTTTGGTTTTTATCTCTCTTGCGACGAAAGTCGCAGTATGCGAGACATAGGGATTACAATCCGGCGGCGGCGTGAACTAATTGTATAAATCTTTATATTTCAAAAGGTAGAAGACCTGAATGCTTCATACCTTGTATGCAGATTCCTTATGTTACGAAGTTTCCGTCTGTCTTATGTCCATGATCCTTGACCTCATTTTCATGGTTCATTGACTGCTTGAAAAAAAATACTTTTTTTTGTTAAGTGAAATACTCACTTAATATGAGAAATAGGATAACTATATTTGGTATATGGGTTCCTTGCAACGTCTACATGTCCATCAGGTGGGGTCCAACTGACCTCGACCTGATTTCATGGATCAGTTATCAATGTTAAAGTTACGTGGTCAAGTCCGTTTCTCAGATACTATAAGCAGTAAGTCAACTATATGTGGTGTATGGAATGATTGTAAGGGGTACATGTCAGTCTGGCAGATTTCATCTGACTTTGACCTCAATTTCATGGTTCATTGGTCAATGTTAAGTGTTTGCGTTTTGGTCTGTTTCTCAAGTACTTTAAGCAATAGGTCAACTATATTTGGTGTATGGAATGATTGTAAGGTGTATATGCCGTTCTAGTCGGTATCATCTGACCTTGACCTCATTTTCATGGGTTTCTGTGTTTATGTCTGTTTTTTTCAAATACTTATAGCAATAGGTCAGCTATATTTGGTGTATGGAATAATGGTAAGGTGTACATGTCTGTCTGGCAAATATCACCTGAAATTGACCTTATTTTCATGGTTCATTGGTCAATAATAAGTTTTTGTGCTTTGGTCTGTTTTTCAATTACCATAAGCAATAGGTCAACTATATTTGTTGTATGGTGTATATCTGGCTGACAGGATTTATCTGAACTTGACCTCAATGTCATGGTTCTTTAAAAATGTTAAGTTTATGTGATACTTTATTAAGACTTTCAACATAAATCAATGGTCAGTAAAGCAGGCAAGATATTTCAGCGTGTGCACTCTTGTCAAATATATGACTTAAAACGTTCCTGATTAAGGTGAATCAAGGAAAGCGAATCAGACGCATACAATTATTGTGTCATTTTCCGTTTTTTACATAATATTATACAGAGATTATTTCTGGGCTTGTTAATCGGTTTGGAATTTTTTTTTATGTATTATACCTTTTTTTGTTCTTTCTCAGAAAAAATATGAAAGAATGAAAAAAAATCTGAATTAAAATATGTCAAGCATTTTACTATGCACACATACGACAGAATTTAATGTTCAACAAGTTTCATATGTAACTTGAATAAATTTAGCTGGAAAATTATTCGTGGGGACAAAAACAAAACGTAGATGTTAAAGTCCGTGTATTAAAAAAAAACTAATTTCCGGACAGGTCTTTCGTTAGCTAAAATGTAAACTTTTTTGTCAAAAAAGATTTTAAATTATTGCACATTCTGTGCGTGAAAACAAACTTCCATATTTACCAATATCAATCTTAATATTTAATTTAAGAGTACAATTGATACAGAAAACTCAATAACGGCTGCCATTGGAAATGGACTGAGAAAAGATATATGGAGTGAATTCCAAAACCGTTTTAAGATAGAAGATATTATTGAGATTTATGGTGCTACTGAACTTTCATTTGGATTTGGTAATTTTTACAATGCAGATGGGGCAACTGGACGAAAAACACCTCTATTGGAAAGGATACATTTCCTGGTCCTGTTAAAGGATTGTTTTCTTCAATACTTTTGATTTTTATACATGTACGTGTAATTTTGTGGATAAAACGATATCTTCTGTGAACTTGGCGAGTAAGCATGTTTATTTCATTTCATTCTTTCATTCAAAAATAACAAAATGTGCACCTCCGATTTGTCTTAACCAGACCATAAAGGTCTCTACAAAAAAAATCCTGTTATTGTTAACAATTAAAACAAACAATAACAACAACAGATATTACTGTGACGAAAATGATTATACAGATTAACAAGCACTGACAGCATTAATCCTTGGCATTTGTTGTTAACATATGCATTTAAATTATATGTTTTTGTGACTCTTTGCTAGATGCATTTGAAGTCATGGTCTTATAATGTCTTAGTTCTATAAACTTTTGCAAAAATGCGAGTTTCGAATCAATTTTGTAAGTTTAAATCATGAGATTATTTCATTTTTTCAGAAAATTTTACTTCCGATAGCATTTATCAAGTTTGACTCTTATACTAACCAGCCTGTCCGTAATGATAAGGAACGATGTGTTCCGGTGGAGACAGGTAAGTATTTAATTTTGATACCAAGAAAGAAATATTCTTTATAGTCAATAACCTACAAAATTAATTTACTTTTATAATTGTTGAATTTTCATGTTTTTTATATAATTATTTTTATACATCTTAAATACATGATAGGAAAGTTCAGACATTTTGTTACTGATATTTGCATCGAGATAGAAAATGCAACAGCATACACATTGAAATTTTGATTTTTGTTGAGAAACTTCATGCTAACACGGATTTCTGATTTCTATTTGTATTGAATAAGACACTCTTATATTGTAGGTGAACCTGGGCTTTTGATAATCAGATTTGATTAACGAATGCCTACTGAGGGATATAAAAACAAAGAAGAAGCAAATATAAAGAGATTCTTATATAATGTATTTAAAGATGGGGATAAATTCATCAATTCGGGTGACTTGCTCTACATTGACAAGGATTATTACATATTCTTTTATGACAGACTTGGCGATACATTTAAGTAAGATATGTATGGGTAGCCATCAATATGTCTTCAAGAATTTCCTTTCCCTTTTTTCTTTAATGGTCTTACAAATGTACGTATGTATTCAATAAATTTGCTTACAGAAATCATATAGTGTCATCAGAATATATTTACTTACCAAGTCAGGAACCATTTTTTCAGTGGTTGTAGTTTGTTGCTGTATATCATATTTGTTTTTCGTTTATTGTTTTATATATAAATTAGGCCGTGCGTTTTTTCGTTTGAATTGTTTAAATTTTGTTCTTTCTGTGCCTTTAATTGCTTATTATGCGGTATGGGTATTGCTCATTTTTGAAGGCCGTACAGTTACCTATAGTTGTTAACTTCTACGTCATTTGGTCTCTGGTGGAGAGTTGTGTCATTGGCAATCATACCACATCTTCTTATTTTAATATTTACTGCACCCTTTGCTATCTTCCAGATTCATTATACGAAATCAAGAGAATCAGCTATAAATAAAGTTGTACGTATGCATGTTTGAAAATAATATAGAATTTAGTTTTTGAGGTTGAAAGGTAAAAAAAGTCCACTACTGCATTAGCTTATACTATATCTGATCTATCATATTTATGTACCTGTTTTATAGATGGAAAGGCGAAAACGTGTCTACTACTGAAGTAGCTAACACTATATCTGAGCTATCATTTATAACAGATACATGTGTTTATGGTGTTACGGTGCCAGGTAAATATGTTTACATTAAACGACATGTATGTGGTAAAATAGTTCCTTGTGTCATACTTAATTGTAGACTTGGGGCGATTGAACGATTGGTGCTGTTTATTAACAGTTTTACATTTTTAAAGAGCAAATTTTGACATCAAGATGTCTCCCATAAATGGTGTAGCTCATCCTCATTTAGAATAAGGTCTCATCATGGGGAAAATTTTTAAAATTAAAGATCAATTGTTATTAACGGGCGACCACAGAGGTTTTCAGTTAGGTTTTTCATAAACATTATATGTATATATTTATGATTTAAACGAGGTTTGGGCTCAATGTAAATTTAAGAGCAAAATATTGAGACTGTAGATCAAAGTAAAAGACACGACATTTGTTTGCGGCTGAATATAATTTGTTGTTGACCCCCACAAGAGAAACTCAGGGGCAATAATTGGGATAGCCATAGGAACTACTCAATCAAAAAAGAGGATTCAACATAATGTTATCAATAGTAGAGGAGTGGCTTTAGAGTAGATAAAGATATAATGAAATCAATAGAGGCCTCCTAAGATCTTCCATCACAGTTTGGAATAGACAAGAAAGTTTGAAAGAGCAGGAATGATGAGATTAGTGCTCATTTTTAAAATTTTGACTCTTACAATTAGACAAACGTGTTGTTTGTATAGTCAAAGTATAGTTGTGTATGCGTTATACTACAAGAAAAAACATAAGAACAGGCTATTAGGCCGTTAGTTTTCTCGTTTAAAATGTTTTTTTTATTTGTCATTTCGGGGCTTTTTATAGCTGACTATGCGGTATGGGTTTTGTTCATTGTTGAAGGCCATACAGTGACCTATAGTTGTTAATTTCTGTCATTTGGTCTCCTGTGGAGAGTTGTCTCGTTGGCAATTATTTTCTTTTTTTTTTTATATTAACAAGTAATTTGTTATAAACCTTTACAACTCATTACAGGTCATGACGATGTTAAATCGCTGCCTTCCAATCTTACTTAAATCTAACTTTTCTTTAGCTCTCCAAAAACAGAAGGCTGATGTTCGGTTTTTATATTTTTTGTTTTGTCCTATTCACATCTACTCTTACAATCAATATGGATGAAATAATATACATTCTTTTTGCTATGACAGCTTACTTGTAAAGATAGTAGGTAAAGTAGATGCAACAGTTGTTTACCGATGTTTAAATCTCATAAATCAATTCATGACAGACAGCTCAAGGTAAAAATTAAACAAATTAAATTAGGAAATCGTATGAACTTTAAAAGAAGCGATACCAAAAAAGTTCATCAAAGATACCAAAACTTATAATTTTTTAAGCCAGACGTAAGCTTCTCCTTATATGCATGTATTACTCGACATGCAAATCTGCATTCAATCAGAATGTTTCAATAGGGAGTAGCACAACATCAATAAATTGACATATCAGAAAACTATTCTAAAGATCTAAATCGGCGAAAACATGGCGCTAGTAAGTTGAGACACAGACACCTACTATTTCGTGATGGTGACAGTAATACTTATGAAGTGTCGATTTCAGTCTTACCTGTTGTAGCAGTTTTGTGAAAGGATCACAACCCTTTTAATAAAGTTCGTAACGAGCATTATAGATTGTGAAAAGTTCTTTTTGATAATTTGAATTTAGACCCTTAAGTTTGTTATTACAAAAAATAATTATCTCATAACAGCTCATATTGTGTATGTTTGATAATTCAGGTTGTGAGGGAAGAGCTGGGATGGCAACAATACATTTGGTTGATTCTGACAATGTAAAACCGACTGACGAAATGCTTTCTAAAATAGAGGAACAATGTAGAACGCAACTAGCAGGATATGCTATTCCAAGATTCTTAAGATTTACTCGTTTTCTAGATATTACCTCAACTTTCAAACAAATGAAGACTATGCTTAAAAGGGAAGGTTTTGATATCAACTTGCGATAGAACCAATTTATTATTTTGATATCAGAGGGCAAAAGTACTGTAAAATCGATAACGATATCTATTCAAACATCATCGATAAGCGTATTAACTTTTAACGTATTTGATGCTTGTAGAATTGTGTCTTCAAAATACTAGCATTGAGAATTCAATTTGAAATATATTTTTTAAACTTATTTTCAATGTAGCATGTAACAATATGTTGCTAAAATTAACCTAAATTAATCTATATCTCAATTGGTATCCCATTTGCGTTTAAAACTACTAGGTCTGAATAGCTGCAAATGGGAACCTGAGGATAGCATCCGTCAAAACCCCAGGTAACCATTGAGTCGGAACTGGTATGAACTGACATGATTAAGAGGATACATTATTCAAAATATTTGTACACTTTCAAGTTACAATCTCTGGTTATGCCCTTGACAACAAATTTGATCTTATATGTCTTTTTAGAAATATTTGGTAAGCATGATATGCATTTGACTTCGTAATTATCACGATGAATAATATGAAATCTGCGGACCTGGACGTTTTCGGCTTTTGTATGTTTTGAATATACCCTTTAGTTTTTTATGCCTTCGAAAGTTTTATATCATTGGTTATCGAATGATTCTCGTGTGGTATACTTACTTTATGTCAGTGAGGACAGTATTGAATTTATGTTACTGTTGAAGACTATATAAATTGATTTCAATTGGTATAAACAATTTTACAAATGTACTTGTATGTTAGTGTCGCAGGTACGTTAATTCAGATTTGATTGTTAAAATTTTATGGTTGTTAAAGCAATACGATTTATCGATTGTAGATTGCATAACGTCCAACGGCCAATATTACTTGATTAGTCGGGACGAAAAATTAATAATAAAAAATACATGTTCTCCAGAGAGGTTCGACCGGGTTGAAAGGCGAGAATTTACACTGCCACTGGAAAATGGGACTTTGCTGGATACGGGCAGAAATTTTACCTTGCGGACCTCTCAAGCAGTTGTTGCAGGAGTTTTTGCAAGAGTTGAAGAGAGAGACGGATGATACGAGAGGAACAATCCAAATTGACAAGTCGAAGAGAAACGTTAGTAGTACCAGAATATACGAAAATTACTTTTTGTTTCAAAATGAAAATGCTTGTTTGCGCTATTAAATAATTGTATGGCAAAAGTATTATGGAAACATATACATGGTATATTCCAACAGAATCATAGAAATGTGTGATATCCGTATGTGGTATTGCATAATTGTCTTTAAAATCTTGACATCACTATGGTGAAGGGGTTTTAACTGTTTGTGCAGCTATCATAGTATTGAAGAATGAATGTGGTTCTGTCAGTAGATCTTGTGGTGCACCAGATTCTATTACCTAAAAAATAATGAACAAATTTTGATATATGCTTTTGTCCTTTAAATACTAAAAATGCATTCTAGACCTAAAGGAATAAAATCTTCATTGGCTTATTTTGGTGGAAAAACAAAACCGGCAAACAATATTCTGTTAGCTTAAAAACATATTCACAAATTTTTTTCACAAAAATTTTCACAAAACTTATTTTCAAATTGCAGTGCTGTAAACATTCATATCATATTTCAATATATAATTACCATTCATTCATATTGTTAATACAAACGTTTATAACCAATGAGAGAAGGTTTGAAGGATACAAATTTAACACTGTAGTAACAAATATAACTAAATATGTATTGCTATACATTTATCAAAAAGTAAAATAACAAAAATTCCGAACTCCAAGGAAAATTCAAAGCGGAAAGTCCCTGATCAAAGTTATGGTCCTACATGCATCCTGTCGATATTATGTACTTATATTTTGGCATTGCACAATGTCGTGCATTTCTCAGAATGTTTTGTTACGTCTTTATACCAAATCTGTTGGATGTGTACTGATTGATACTATAGGAATGGAGATTATGAATTATTTATTAGTAGTTATTGTCTTTGTACTAGTTTTCAGTTCTGCGAGGGAGGGTTGAGCGATCACATACATGTTTAATCCTGCCATATCATGTATGTGCCTGTCCCAAGTAAGAAGACTATAATTCAGTTGTTGTCGTTGGTTGGTGTTTGTAATATTTGTTTTTCGTTTATAGTTTTGTCGAAATCAAGTCCTTGGTTTTATTCGTTTGAACTATTTGGTCATGTCGGAGCCTTTTGAAGCCGATTATATGGTATGGGTTTTGCTCTTTCTTGACAGCCGTACGTTGATTAATAGTTGCTTAAATCTGCTTCATTTGGATAGTCATCTTATTGACAATCATACCATATCTCCTTATTTTATATTGGTTTTATTTTGACAATACAGCCGATTTCATCAAAATTTCAAACGGAGGTGATGAGATGGTGTGTAAAAAGTTTTTGAAGTGTCTCAAGATACCTCAATCAAAACAAGATAACAAAGAGGTTATCTAATAAAATAAAAAAGTATTTTCATGTTAATTAACTTACTTCTCCATTATCCATAATCATGACGAGGTCAGAGTGTAGAACTGTATTTAGTCTGTGAGCTATGGTCACTACTGTACAATCACTAAATCTTTCTTTAATAGTTTTTTGGATAAGAGAATCCGTTTGAGTGTCAATAGAAGCTGTTGCTTCATCCAAAAGTAAAATCTGAGAACCATGTTATACACAGATAAGTTTAATTTAACAACAAACTATACTTATAAGATATAGATTGAGTAAATAACATTAATATTTCCGGGAAGTATTTTATAAATTAGTTTTCTTTCATTAAAATGCATGCAGTATAACTATCAAATCTGCGTGATTATGTAAACTAAAGTAATCACAAACTTAACGGCTTTCTCTACTGCAGATGCAATAATTGTAAATCAATAACTGCTGTACTCGATGGCAAATTACGGAAATTACTGAAGACAAAAATCTGCTGTACAAGAAAAGAATTGTTTTGAATTTCAAACGGGAACGTGGGTCCTATTGTATCTGCAGTAGTGAAGGTCGGTAGAACGATTTGGTGAAGATACGAAATCATATGGAACCAAATAATTTGATTTGTACGTGTAATCAAATATTGGTTTCTGGTCATATATTACTTCAACTGTTTCGGTTCATTTACATCCCTGGCTTTTAAATATTTGGCTTCGATCGTTCTTGATGAAGGCAAATCCAGAATATCATATCAAGGTATGGACTATTTCTCTACACAGTTGATATCACTGAATCTTGATTTAGCATAGTTTTTTTTAAATATATTTCTTATTTAATTTGCTTAATAATATATGAACATACCTTGTTCTTTCGTAATATTGCTCTAGCTAGGCATATTAGCTGTCGTTCTCCAACTGAGAAATTTTCACCATTTTCTTCTATTTTATAGTCGAGGTCTTGATCGAATTGCTGAACCTAAGTAACAATCAGTTACACAGAATTGTAAGATTTAAATTAAAAGCGATGACTTGTATGACTTAACTGATAAAACTTTTGATACATTGGATGAGAAGGTCTATACAATACAGCCATTCAACAAAAACGAAGTCATGCTACAAAGATCTTTCCAATCAACGGAGCTTTTTAATTGATAAATCAGAATGATTCTTCAAATGAGAACAATATTTTTAGTCACAAAGCAAGGCTTTTTTTTAAGCATTTATTTGAAAGCGTTCAAAAACGCTACATATGGATGTGAATAAACAATAGAAGGAGCAATTAATAAGTTATGATAAATACATGGTAGTAATTTTGCAAATACTTTAATGTGTCTGACAATATACTTATAGCTCTCCACCAACAGTTATAATCCTAAATTATCAAAACGAGAAATTCACGATGTCCGAGGGATACAGGATATAAAACCTTAAATATTCAATAATTTTGGATATTGACTTTTAATAAAGAAGGTCATTCTATTATCATACTAAATATCTAAATATGGGTGTTGGAGTCTTTTTGTTGCAGAATATTTCATATGTAAATCCGAATTGCAACCGGATCTTGTCACCGTCGCCATTTTCACCCAGAAACAAAAGTAGGAGGAACATAGCTGCTTCTTTCTTCGATATGGAAATGCGGCCAAATTGAAAAATTTGACAAGAGTTAATTTTACAATGTGCATATTCTCATGCAATTATTTTGCTTACGAGTAGTTTGGCGCCGGGAAAAGGATTATTTTTCTTATGGTAAGAAAAACATATTGCAATTGCTTTTTCGTTTTATTATTTGTTACTAAATAATATTTGATAATAGTAATTATTATTTTAAGGTTCGCCAATTTCAAAACTGAAATAAACACAGTGAGTTAAAATAAAGTAAGTTTGGGTTTAAACCACTCAAAATGCTTTATAAATAGTTGATTAACAACAATATATGTATAAATATATATCATTTAAATCTTCATCTTCGCTAGCCAAGGGTTACGATCCACTTCCCTCCTCTCCCTCTCCACCCTTGGCAGATTAAGCCAACATTTGTGATAACAATGTTGCGCCATCTATCGGTAGATTAAAGTCACGCCCATTCCGAATACATTATTCTTGACCAATGGTAGCACTTGAACTCTTCAATTGGAGGTAAAAACACGGTAGCGTCTAGATTCTACACACTTGGTAAAGCAGGAAACGAAAATATACGTTGACATTCATGCATTTGTGCAAGAAACATACACAGGAACTTCTATTAGTTGATTAAAAACATTCAAATTGTCACTAAATATAGTCGTATGTTTAGGGATGTAAAAACTTGTTGCGCAATAAGCACGTGGCAATTGTTTACATACACTTTCTACATTTACACTTGATCATGTTATAGGCGCTTTTTGATTGGATGCAGCGAGTTTCGACTGCAACCAATGAAAATCATTACCTTGTGTCTCCGAAATTCTATCTCAATCCGCCAAGGGTGGAGAGGATGGAAGTGGATCGTAACCCTTGGCTAGCGAAGATGTTAAATCTTGGATATGCAGTGCAGTGAGCATTTGATTATTTGGTTATCAACGAGAGCCTTAATATACCAAAAAGATATTCAAACTCCTTTGTCGAAAACAAACTGACGATATCATGGCAAAAAAACAAAAACGACCGAAAGACAAATAACAGTACATAGAAAACTACAGATTTAGCAACATGATCCCTACCGAAACTGGGGGTAATCGCAGGCGCTCTATAAGGGTAAGCAGATCCTGCTTCACATGTGGCACCCGTCGTGTTGCTCGTGTAGGTACAAATCCGGTGATAAGTCAAATTCGGTTGGTCATGATCACATTCGAAGAAACGGGGCGGGATTGTGATAACGAAGATTGAAACATATCTATCTACCCCAGCAAAAAAATTAAACGTTGCTATTATATGCATATTGCAGACATTGTATACCAACAAAGTACTGATTTACCTTTTCCTTCAGGTGAACATTCTCTAGTGAACTCCAAAGTTCTGAATCTGGATGTTTTCCGAACGGGTCAAGGTTGTATCTAAGTGAAGAACAATATTACTTTCAATCTATGTTCAAGTATATTTATTTTTTCGCGTAAACATCTGCATTTTGCTCGAAAATGATAAAAAAAATTAAAAAGTGTTAACATGAACGGTTAAAAAAGTGTTTAACTTGAAACTACCAGTATGATTGTGCAATAAACATGTCTAAACGAAATTACGTTTTGTTTATGAGACACACTTACATACACCCCACAATATCTATATCAAAACTTTGTTCAAAACACTACGTAACCCTAAGAAAATCAAATTTTACATGGCGTATTTCAAATAATTTTGATTTCCAAAATCGAATACTAAATCCCGTATTCCGAATTTCGAACATTCCATATAGTCTTTTGTCAGATATAAACTCATCTGTATTAAAATTTATTTTACCTCAATGTTCCTGCAAAAAGCACAGGATCTTGTGGAATTGTTGACAATCTTGACCTCAAAATTTTTAAAGCTATCTGAGAAACGTCTACGCCATCAATGTATATATGACCTTCCGACAATTGAACAAGTCTAAATAACGCAGCAGCAAGTGAAGATTTTCCTATAGGTTAAAAATACAAAATGGTTATATCATAAATTCATATGAGACTGTTCAACATCGAAAAGAATGTCTTAAGTTCTTCGTGCTTTTTTTAGTCTCTCACACCTTTTTGTGACACTGGATGTATTTATTAATTACACTATGTTGCTCAATCATAATAAAATAAATAATCATTGCAGCTTATGTTGATGTGTACACTTTAATCAGTATACCTATAATGAATAACATAATTAAATCTTTACCGGTTGCATTTATCTAATGCAATGAAAATGTATAATCAAATATATCTACAAAATCGTTATAATTGGAATACAATGAGATGTAGTATCTACGTCAATGAGACAGTGACACAACGGCACAAAAAAGCATTAAACCATGATAAATGTTGATAGTCATTTAACACTTGTTACCTGCTCCAGTTCTACCCACAATGCCAATTTTCATTTGAGGGTGCAAATCAAATGATATGTTTCTCAGCACTGGCTTCATGTTGTCACGGTATTTCATTTCAACTTTGGAGAATATTATTCTTCCTTCGTTTGGCCAATTGTCACTTGGAGTTGTATTAAATGTCTGAGGTTCAATTTCAAGGCTCTGAAGTTAAAGGAAACAATTAGAAACATTAATTGAGCGATTTACGGCATTACATTCTATTTCGTCATTGCCTTAATTCGACAAAAAAATCTACACTACTAGCACCTTTATATCATGGAATGGTGTGAGCACTGATTATCGTTTTGTCAAACAACCATACATGTATCTAACCAGATAAATATTTTAAATGAAGATATTCGTAAAGTCGAACGTGTTAAGGACTCAGCTAAATAGTCGCTCACATGTAATTTTATGCTAAACATATAGGAGCGCCTGATTCAACCCCGGTTTTTGGAGAGGATTCGAGGTGTTTCCAATAGTGTGTTTTGTAGACTGTTTTCCTTTCATTGTTTTTTCTTTTTTTCCATGGCGATGTACGTTGAGTATCGACTTATGGCATTGAATATCCCTTTGGTAACTTCATCCTCTATTTCATATGAAGCCCACTAAAAGGATAGTAAAAATGCCAAACTACAAGGTAAATTCAAGAGGAAGTCCATAGAAACTGACAAAATCAAACGTTTTACCTTATCAGCTAATGGAACGAATGGAAAACAACTGTTATTTTCCCGACTTGGTACAGAAATTTTCCGAAGAAAATTGTGTTAAACCTTGTTTTATTGCTAGCTAAACCTATCATGCCTATGTTAAGGGGTCCCCAAAATGATTTTATTTAAGATTATTAACTTTCCGAAAAAGTTTTGTTTCTTGAATTATACATCTTTGTTAAATCAGTGTTTATTAGTCGGCTCATAAAAGTAAATTGTCGTGACGACAAAAAAGTCCCACTTTAAGTTTCGTAACCATAGAAACTGCGTAGAAAGTAGTCTGTTTACCTTTTCATAATGATGCAACCGTTCAATGGACGTAAACCGAGCTTCAACTTCATTCATAACTCGTACCATAAACTGCATTATACCAACGACCTGAAAATAAAATTAACAGAAACTATAATCAAATTGATTAATCATAACAATAAGCAGACTGATTTCTTTGTTGACATCTATACATTGGATCCCATTTATTTAGCATGTTTTAAGAATTAATTACTGATATCATCAGCAATACATTTACAAAAAGTGTCCAATGCGCTTTACTGAAACTACTTTTAAATGTTATGTAGAAGACATTATCATCAACATGCATATCTAATAAATCTGAACTGTACTGAACTGAGAACACACTAAAGAGTGACCAGGAAAACCTCGATAACTAAAATGATTTTAATCAAATAGTTCGTATTTTACCTTAATGCACATTGTCAGAGATAGACCTGCAAGAGCAGGAGCAACTGAACCTTTAGTTATAACTATCGCTAAGGCAGTAGCGACTGTAATAATTGACGACGACAAATCCAGTCTCACTTCAACCCATCTCATGCTACTCTCAAACAAAAATGTCGCTGTGCTGGTCACATCTATCAGCTTTGTTGAACTGAAACAAAACATGATATACTAGTTATAAAAGATTAATATCATAAATGATTCGTCAAATTTGATCATTTATCTTTATATATCCTGTCAACGTCATCAAAAACGTAATTATAAACAAAACATGGCAAAATTGAAGTCTATTCTCATCTTCTCTCGTACATTATCAGTATTTTGATTTATCCTATGAAACTGTTGTTTGAGCCGTTATTATTTCAACATGCAATTGACTTCAATTTACAAAATTAATATATATGACCTCTCATTTGTACGTTATATATGCAAATATTTTAATTGACACATCAGCATTTATAATCAAAGAACCAATTCAAAATCTTTTCATGTACGATGGTCATGTATAAAAGATTTCAACTGAAATTCAATACTTTAAAAAAAAATAAGAAAGGAAAGGACATGGGTGGGTTTACACGATGCAACAAACGTATGACCAAATTAAGACGGCTCCTAGCTTCGTTTAATATAAATATATACTTTTCTATAAATTGTTTCTGTTGATTAAATGGAACTATTGTAAATAATCCTTGAGCAGTTGTGTTTACGTGTGCCAACAATGGTGATCGCGTTACGTTTTCAACCCTCTTCAACTGCCTAACTGATGTATTGGAGATATTCTTCAAAATTGCAAACAGTATTGCAACTGGAACAATCGCAATAAGAATCCAGGGTAACACTATAGCGGTGGTCAACAGTGATAATGCAATTTGGTTTAGTAACTGCAATAATGTGTCGATGAGCTGTGGTAGAAATACATCAGCTGTAACATAAAATAATACATATATTAATATTGGTTCCGTAATTGTTGATAAATACAGATAATGCATAACATTCAAATATCACTCACAAAAAACTGAAACTGATTTGTTTGTATCATTCCAGAAACACATGAATATATAGAAATATAGTTATCTGGCCGGCTGTGTAACACATGATGTCGTTTTACACTGTGTGGAATGCATAGGTACGTCGCAACAACTGGTCGGAATTAGGACGCTAAATCGGGCGTCCCGAGAATTGCGAGTGCCACACTCCCTGTGTGTGCGTGTGCCACACTCCCTGTGTGTGCGAGTGCCACACTCCCTGTGTGTGCGAGTGCCACACTCCCTGTGTGTGTGAGTGCCACACTCCCTGTGTGTTCGAGTGCCACACTCCCTGTGTGTGGAAATATCCCACAAACAACTCTTTTAGGGTTTCCTCAGAATGCCTGTTGCATTGCAGACTAGCTTAATTTCCCGTCCTTATCCCGTCGATCGACCCAATTTGTAAAACCTTTTTTTTTGTCTTTCTGAATACGCACGACAATTTTGCCAGTGGAAATAATTGGAATTATTATCAAACATTTGTTACCACTTCCTTCTGTAAATTATTATATTTATCCACTTAAATATAAACATATCTTTAATTTGATAATGTAATTTTCAAAGTTGTGATAAAACGGATATTAACATCTTATCCTATATACTGTTGCTATATTATATTTGATATAAATAGAGCGAAAAATAGCATTAGATAATTTGTTAGTAATTACAATTCTAATTAATTCAAAGGGTTCATAATTTTATTGTAAATACCAGTTCTTTTTATGAAACAAAATCAATTATTTATAATAATGAATTGATGCATGATTCATAGTCATTTTTATCGGAACTATTCGTATACACTTATATGCAGTTTAGAAAAAAGCTTTATCAATACCTTCGTCCATGTCCCTTGAAAATCTGTTGAGTATCCGTCCAGAAGGATTGGAATCAAAGAATTTCATTGGAGCCTTCATTACCTTATTCAGTACAATATTGTGTAGCCGAACTGATGCACGGATTGTAGTCTGCATGCAAAATATAAAACAAACAAGTGCATACTTTTTCTGTATATATAAATGTTTTTACTACGACACATTGCTTCTAAAAAAACATAACTTGGGGGCTATTAAATATGCATGCTGCATTTGTTTGCACCTGTCCTAAGTCAGGAATCTGATGTTCAGTAGTTGTCGTTTGTTGATGTGGTTCATTAGTGTTTCTCGTTTCTCGTTTTTTATATAGATTAGACCGTTGGTTTTCCCGTTTGAATGATTTTATACTAGTAATTTTTTGGGGCCCTTTATAGCTTACTGTTCGGTGTGAGCCAAGGCTCCGTGTTGAAGACCGTACTGTGACCTATAATGGTTTACTTTTATGAATTTTGACTTGGATGGAGAGTTGTCTCATTGGCACTCATACCACATCTTCTTATATCTATGATATATAGAGAAATTGCCAATAGTTATCAAAGATACAACTTTATTCTTACAAAAAAGAATAAAGGACACACTTTAATAGTAAAATAGATTACGATCGCAGTACGAAGTATGCCTTAACCTTTTCGTCAGCGCCAGTAATGTCTAAACTTGTCCACACAAGGAAATGTCACAAGCATGATTCACGATGTTTTATTAACTGCCAAGATACAGTGTTGTCCATAAAGCTTTTGTTATAATTTTTTATAATACATGATATGATGTTAATTTATACGAATAAAAGTTGATATTGGGCATACCTCAATGCGACAGCAATTTAACGTCACTAAACAAAACAAGTCATCTACAGGTAAACAAACAGTCTCCAACAGTATACAAGCTGTCTATATAATATGTCAAGCTGCATATTACCCAGAGTCTTATAGTCGACAGATACTTACAGATCTGCCATCAACAACAAATTCACAAAACATATTCATTAAAATATGACAGAAACAAATATGACAGAAACAGAAATATACATTTATAAAAGTAAACCATTATAGGTCAAAGTACGGTCTTCAACACGGAGCCTTGGCTTACACCAAACAGCAAGCTATAAAGGGCCCCAAAAATAACTAGTGTAAAACCATTCAAACGGGAAAACCAACGGTCTAATCTATATAAAAAACGAGAAACGAGAATTACTTTTGAACCACATCAACAAACGACAACTACTGAACATCAGATTCCTGACTCAGGACAGGTGCAAACACATATAGCGGGTTTAAACGTTTTAATGGTACCAAACATTCACCCTTTTTCTGAAACAATAGTGTTACATCACAACATAGAAAGACACAATATAAAATATCAACTGAAATAGCTTAACTCAATCAAAGGACATATTAACACCAGTGAACATACACTGAACAAATAAATTTGACCTAGGATACAATGTAAATACAAAATAAATAAACTAAGGGAAGAATAATAAAAGTAACAAGTTGTACCGCTATAAAATATCAGCCATTTGCAACACAGGTTAATGAAATAATTTTGTTGTTAGGTATACGTGTACAGTTCAAATAGAGAAAGGAAATATTTTTACAAAATAAATAATTTTAATGTTTATAGTACGAAGTGAAAATTTACATATTCATTTTAATGTAAACTGACCGTTGCTCCTGCGAATCCTCTGAGTATCGTGAGAAGTATTATTCCTCCTAATGATGAAACATATACCAATAAATAAAAGTCGAAGCCAGAACTGGTCTCTGGAGATGGCAATGGATTCATTGTGTTGTTGCTAGAAGTCGTCGTATAATAAAGATTAGCAGCGCTCAAGTTTGATGGCGTTGAATCAGCAAAACTATAGCTATTTGTTTCATTATTTGGCGTTGCCTACAATATAAAGATATATACATCGTAATTATAGAAACAACTAAACGCTTTCAATGACATTATGGCATTTAGACAGAGTGCAGATTCACATAACGGATTGAAGCAGGAGACGTTCTTTTGTGAACTTCATGCGATTCCTTTGGTGTTTTATTTGTTTTTGATTTGTATCTCTTTTGTCGATTTATTAGACTTGAAAATCAGTAAACTACTGTCTAATTAATGAAATATTTTTTTATGTTTTCAGATGAGTCACTAGTGAACCAATTTTTATTCGAAATGGTCATTTTGATCTGAACAGCTCTGAAAAGACTACTGAATATATAATGACGTCATTTTCAGACTTACACACTGCAGTAAATTCTGTACTGTTCAGACTATTCCCTTGCAGTCAACTAAGATCTGGTCAGGCTATGTTCAGACTGTTCAGTAGTTGTAGACATGAACAACGTACTGAATTGTCTGATGAGCTACCGACAAGTACTGAATTGACTGCAGGCAAATTGCCTGAGCAGTTCTGAAGACTTAATAATTTACTGTTCAGACTTATCAGATGTCAATTACTAGTGAGTGTTATTGAGTTGATTTAGTTTTGTTTTTGTTCTTTTCTCTCTCTCTCTATTCAACGTACCGTATTTAATGTGTTAATCCAAATTCCAAGCCACCAATCACTGAATACAACAGAACCCATGGTAAGAGTATATGACAGCATCACCAAGAAGCAGATCATAAAACCACCTGCAGCATTGATGTAGGATTTGTATGTACCAAATCTTACTTTACCAACCACCATTTCTTCACGTTCTGTTAATTTACCTGAAAACATTATAAAATTTACTGGATTAATGAGTGATCGGAATTGGTGGATTGATGGTAACTGCAATACTCCAAGTTAACGTGACGTCTTAATTTTTATTATACCAATTAATTGTTTTCGCTGGTATATGAATATATCGATAGACACATACGTTAATGGGATAACCAGAAGATTAATGAGGGAAAAATACTTGAATATGGAATATAAGATCAGGAATATCCATCGGACTTTACAAACCACAACAATTAAATTAAACAAAGACGGACATTCAGAAGGATCAACAGGTCGACAAATATGAAACGGGCAACAACATCATTGTTTGATATTGCTATAGTCGTACACTCCAAATATTACAATGAGATTTAAAGGCTGACAACCATAGCGAGGGTCTCTTATATCATATTTTATATCCGTATAAAATACAGCAGCTATAAGTGCACATGCTATCCGTGACAATGTTGAAATAATGCATTGAAAAAACAAACAAAAGCTTGATTTAACACTTAATTTCATGATTGTTGCATAAAATGTTACTATAAGAATTGAATGCTACTTTTTATAATTTTATAGGGATGAAAAAGCGTTAATCCTGCGCACATTTTTAATATGCGCTTTTTCATAAATAAGTGCGTCGGTCAACGCTTTTACACCCAAAACAAAAGTATAAAAAGAGGCATTCAATTTTTGAATAATACATTCAGTCTGTTGTTGGTATGACAAACTTACATTGCTATTTTTAAAGTTTAAATAACAAATAAGGTATTACGAACGGTGAAACCAGGTCACAGAATTTTTAGACTATTATGAAAAAGTTATTTGATATAAAATGTGCATCCCTGGAAGCACCTGCACAACAATGATTAACGTAACTAATAAACAGCTATCAAAATGCTCCAACTATGTTAGATAGTTTTGATCATCATTTTTGCCAACGACTTACCTTTTTCATTTTGCTGCGTTACATTGTTTGCAGAGCTGTTTGTTGTCACACTGTTAGCAGAGCTATTTTTCGGAAGATCTTTCTTTTTCGACTGGACACCATTTGTAGCTATTTTAGAATTACTGGTATCCTCATTTTTAGACTTTGATGGTATTGGTACTTAAAATTTAATACAGATAACGTATTATGTGTATCAACTTTCAGAAACTTTCATAGATATTACGTATGGTATATGCATATGTAAATTGATGTACAGAGTAAATGAAAAATAACACTTTATTAATGCTCTAATCATATTGGTGCAAAATTAAGACACTACTGGATTTTTTGCCAACATTTTGCACTCCATTATCTACAGATAAGGCATAGGTGACATAATTATCATTATTCTCAATCGTTTAACTTTAAAAAAAATATTTCAAAGTGTTTCAAAATTGCTGAATTGCCATAAAATTTTCGACCAAGAATGTATGAGATGACTCAAATATCTACGTAACATAAATTACTCTATGTAACACTATAAAATTAAACTTTCAAAATAGTAAAAATGTAACGTCCACTAATATTTGAGCCATCTAACTTAAAGTGTTTAAGATATGAGATTCAAACTCGTTTTCCCTTCTATTTTTAATATTTTTCCTACTACTCAGAAGGTACTGTCCCCAAAAATAAAACATCAAATATTCTTAAGCATTATGCTTGTTATTTTAGCGAAAATATGTTTACCTTTTATGTACCAACTTTTAACAAACATAATTAATCACCAACTATAGTTTTGCGTATGTAACTATGCAATCGTCATAATTATTTCCTACACTTCTGGTTAATATTATACAACATCTATAATTTTAAAATTTATCTCTCAGAAATTCATCTAAATTTAAGAGAAAATATCAGCAATACTCATAAGGAGATAGGATTGATACTTTTACAAAATTGTAACTTTACTTCTACAATATGACAAGTAGGTTGACGCTATTCTAATTTTAAAAAAGCTTTCGTATGATCAGATGACAGAAATATTTCGTAAATTTATACAAACAAAAAGTAAAACAACAAAAATACCGAACTCCAAGGAAAATTCAAAACGGAAAGTCCTTTATCAAAAGGCAAAACCAAAAGCTCAAAAACATCTGTCACATTCCTGACTTGGTACAGGCATTTCCTTATGTAGAAAACAGTGGATAAGAAGTACATTTCTGACTGTCTTCTTACGTTTTAGAACAATAACTGTAAAAAGAAATGATTGTAACAGGATGCTGTTACTTAGTCTCCCAAACAAAACCCATAAGTATAAACCCCTAAGGACTCTCACTATTGAATACATGTTTTTAAAAAGTTCAAGGTAAAAGGTCAAGGTCATAATAAACCATTGACCTTTTGATCTTTCAGAAGGCCATATGTTCCAATGGTAGTTACTGAAGACCCTAGGTGTTTATCACTAACTGTTCTCAATTATAATGATTTGAAAATAAAAAAAATTTAAATCCCGTAGGGTTCTATAGTAAACCCCTCCTTTCTTCTAGCCCCTCAAAGTACCCCCATTGCACAAACAAAACCCTGATTGCACCTGTAGATATGTTAGTCTAACATATTGTGGACTCTAAGTTAATCTGACTAGCGGTTTTGGAGAACGGGTGCGGACAAGCTCAAATTTAAAAGTGGCGGAAGAAGAAGAAGAAGAAGAAGAAGAAGAAGAAGAAGAAGAAGAAGAAGAAGAACAAATAAATATCAAAACTTTGTTTGGGAGACTTTATAATTAAAACGAAAGTTCTTACTGAGCAACACGACGGGTGGCAAATGTGGTGCAGAATCTACTTACCCTTCTGGAGCACCTGAGATCACCCCCAGTTTTGGTTGGGTTCGTGTAGCTCAGTCTGTAGTTTGCTATGTTGTGTTTTGTGTATTGTAGTTTGTTAATTCATCGATTTTCGATTTTGTCATGTCTTTGTCTTTGTTTTCGACTAATGAGTTTGAAAAAGAGAGGCGAAGGATACCAAAGGGAAATTCAAACTCATAAGTCGAAAATAAACTGACAACGCCATGGCTAAAAAGAAAAAGACAAACAGACAAACAACAGTACAAAAAACAAGATAGAAAACCAGAGACTGAGCAACACGAACCCAACAAAAACTGGGATTGATCTCAAGTGCTCCGGAAGGGGAAGCAGATCCCGATCCACATGTGACACCTCTCTGGTATATCCCTGTCATATTGTTCGCCTCTCTTTCTTTATTGAAATTATGTAGTGTACATGTATAACAACAGTTAAATGAGTATTTATAAAAGGTTTCCTATGTAGGTGATCAATTTATACATACATTGCTTTTCCATCGAAGTATTTGTATGGTAGTGAAATTTATCCATCATCTCTTTGTAGTATCCATTTTGTAAGAGCAATTCATCATGATGTCCCCTTTCCACAATGCCACCATCTTCGAATGCTACTATTTCATCACAATGTTTTAGATACTAAACGAAATGATCTGATTGTGAACATTTTTCTTTTATATGACAAGGCTTATCGGGTTTACAACAGTTTGAAATTGTTATGGTGAAAGGCAAAAAAAAAAGTTATATCTTTAAGAGACTCATCTTGTACTTGTCTTGTTTCGGAACCAAAATCATATATATTTGAGAGCATAAAAACTAAAGGTTTAGTGCTTGAAAATAGCAATAAAAGTAAAGTCGAGCTAGCTTGAGGGAGTTGTAAGTTTGAATTTACAATGTAAGTACAATCCCATAGTCATTAACAGAATTTATTTTTAACAGGCAGCCAAATGCATTTATTTATTTTAATTATACCAGTACCGAAACACTTAAACGGGGAACGGTTATTTAAATAGATAAAACAAAAGAATTAATATACCATTTTTCAAAATATTGTGAATGTTTTATTTTGTATTTATTTATTTTTAAATATATATCATTTTGTTTCATTTGATTAAAATTGTTTACATCTTCTCTTTATACCGTGGTATCATAATTTCATCGAATGTTGTATCTTTATAACTTAAAATATTCTTAAATTGATTAAACTGTTTGAACACATTTATATATGTACCTGTAGTTGGTGAGTTGCTAGGATTACTGTTTTCCTAGCAAGCGTCTTTTTGATACAAGTATGGAAAAGATGCCTTCCAACATGGACGTCAACAGCTGATAAAGGGTCGTCAAGGAGATATATATCACTGTCACTATAAACTGCTCTAGCCAAGCTGATACGCTGCTTTTGTCCTCCACTTAGATTTGTTCCTCTGTCACCTATCTTTTAATTAATTTAATCAAGTTAAAAGGTAAAATCACAAAAATACTGAACTCCGAGGAAAATTCAAAACGGAAAGTCCCTAATCAAATGGCAAAATCGAATGATAAAACACATCAAACGAATGGACAACAACTAAAAACATACCTTCCTTTATATATAGATCATTTTACAGTGATCATTTTTATTAGAACTGAGAGCATATACTAGTATACTATTGTGTAAATAGAAAACATACATTTCTAAGACACTATTACATGTATGTAAATCTTCAAATTTACGGTGACACTGTCTTATAATTTCATCAGAGAATTTTATCAACAGAATTAATTAATGATATCATATATACTTTTTCAGAAGGGATGAACATACAATAAATTATTTCGTTCTCATACTACATGTCATGTGCATGCTTGGTCATTTATATTAATATCCACTGTTCCGTTATGTATCCATGTTTTCAGATTTGGCAGAAAAAAGAATGTGAAAGGTTTCACACCAAATTAACCGTTGGTAAACATTACGAGGCCGAAATATAAAACACTAAAAAATACCATACCTCAGTCTCATCTCCATTATCAAGAATAGCAAAGTCAGGCTCAAGTCCACATGTATATATAACATTTTGATACCTGTAAAAAATATGTTGCAAATGTCAAAAAACAGTTTGTGAACGTGAAAAATTCACACTGAAGAGTTGTCTGTAAAGCCATATATAAATATTATTAATTATATGAATACTGGTAGAATGGTGTATGATGGTTCTTTAAATCTTTAAACATATGTAGGGACTGCATGTAGACGAGTTTTAATTATTTGAATACTTGCTTTTATAAGACCAACAAATGTTCTGAAAATAATTGTCCTTCTCCAAATGCAATTTATATGGGTAATGATTCGAGTTATGTTTAACATCATTATACTGAATATGATTGATTGATTGATTTGTGGTTAACGCCACTTTTATCACTATTAGTCATTTCGTGGCGGTTAGTTTTTATTGGTGGAGGAAACCAGAATGTCTGGAGAGAACCATAGAACTTCGGCGGAAAAACTGACAATCCTAGTCAATTCAGATGAAAAAAAGACTGTTATACACTGTTGATTTTTGTAAATGAATTGATAAGGTCTTAAACATAGTACAAGGACACACACAACACATTTCATGAGGCCATACCTTTCTGGTTCATAAGATTTTCCGAATAAAATATTTTCTCGTACAGTGTCGTTAAATATCCAGGCTTGTTGGGCAGCGTATGCAATACTACCATTCACAGCCGCATGTCCAGAAATAAAGGGCATCTAAATGAAATTTGATGTGTGTATCATCATTACAGATAGAAATAATTACAACACAAAAAGAATGAACTTACAAAAGACAAAATTACATTAGATGACGGACAAATAGTTAAATATCAAAACATAAGTATATATATTACAACTGATCGTGTTGAATCTAAAATATTTTGTTTGGTCATTACAGAAGTCAAGGTTTAACGTTTTCTTATATTTTTATATTTTTATCTCAAATAATTGAAAAATAAGTATGTTCCCTTTAAATGTTCATAAATTCTTTGAGGCACAAATATTATATTATTAGTTACATAGTGTGTTAGTGACCTTATACGATATTTACTGACCCCGTATATATCGTATTAGCACACTATGTAACGAATCTATCTTACCGACTATCTTTATTTGTTGAATTTAAGCTAGAGTTGTCTCATTTGCAATCATACCATATCTTTTTAAGTGTTCAACTTTAAGAACCTACTTCCATTTGTCTGCACAAAAAAAACTAATGTCAACATTAACAATTTAATATCAACAACCTTGATATAACAATATTAAACAGAACTTTCAATACATTTAAATAATCAAATAGTGCCAAAGTCGTAACTCCACTACTAACCGTGTATTGAAATAAGCCCCGCCTCCCTACTAACCTAATATGGAATATACACGGTCTCTGCGCGGACGCTTTTAACCAATCATATTCCTAGAAATGTATAGGAGGTAAGATAATAATGTTTATGGGTGAATTGAATCCTCATCATGATCAATTAATCAGGTTTCTTTCTTTGTTTTTCACATTGGTTTGAAACATACTTTGCAAATTGTAAGAATGACAAAGTCTGATTCGGAACACAAATATAAATATACAATTTTCTTTTAAAAACGTTACCCTTGACAATATAGCTGCCATTAATGATGACTTCCCTGATCCAACAGGGCCACATATACCAATCAGTTTTCCCTGCAATAAAAACATATACAGGTTGTTCCGTAAGTGTATGGAGCTTCACTTTACAATAAATGTTATGATAAACAATAAATATTTTCAAATATATTTTTATAAATTTCTAAATATCTTGGATAAAAAAGGCTTCATTTTTGGAAGTTCAACTCTTTTTGATGCGTTATTAGCTTATATATAGACCAGTCTTTCTACATACACATTCAGAATGTCTAAAGGTGTGTTATTTTTTGAGGTACAACAATAATTTATATAGGTTTATTGCATAAATATTGGGATATACAAGAACAAATCCGCGGGTCCGTGACTGAATTAAGTACCTACACCTTATTCTTAGTTTGGATTTTTAGTATTCGTAATGTCATCTGATGAAATCATGCTGATTGTATTGAGGTGCACAATGTTCTCTGCCTGGAATGGTGAAATTTTAAATCAACACCATTGTCCTGTATTAGTATATAAAGTTGAATTCTTTGATTCGTCATTTTTACGTCACGCCGGCTAACAAATTGGACCTTTATTTTAGTAGTATAGATTGTCTTGCAAGGCATTGTATATTCTACGAAGGATATTATTCACCATTATTCATGCAATAAGCTTTTTATAGTATTGTAAATCTTAAAGAATGTTTAAATGAAAATAACACATTTTATAAATTCCGTGCGGCCGAGGTGTTTTTCTGGATTTACTTCATCATGAACGCTCAAACCGTCAGGGATGTACAAATACATCGAAATGTAAGGAGCTATATGACCAACAGGGACTTAAAAGAATAGCCAAATTCTTATAAGGTCAACTTTACCTGAGGGAGTTGGAACTTTAGTTTCTTCAAACATATTTTTTTTTAATTTTAAGTTTATTTGCATATGATATATAATTGCATGCTAACTTTTGGTTACATTCTGTATGAAACATGTTGATACTAAACCATAATATACTTCATGGTTCTATTTTACAAGGTAAAAGTAATAAATAGAAAATTACATATTACCTTTTGAACTGTAAAATTCATTTTCTCTATGTGGAATGATCCTGGTGATGCTGTAAAAATCGAAACATTGTCTTAAAAATTGTGAATACATTAAATATCGGATTTTCATAGTAACAAATGTATTATTTGTAATATTTACTTCTACCCTAAGAATAGACTACCGTAGCTGTATTTGGCTATACCTTACGGAATTTTTGTTCATCAATGCTCCTTAACTTCGTATTTTACTTGGCCTGTTTAACTTTTTTTTATTTGAGCGTCACTGATGAATCAATTGAAGATGAAACGTGCGTCTTGCGTACAAGAATATTAAACCTGGTATCTGTGATGATTTTATGTAAGTCAACAAAAGGAGATAAGTTGAATTTCTGAGTGTAAGATTTTAATTTCGATTTATTTAAATATCTCTTTTTAGAAATATTATAAGATTGACAGCTTACATAAAGGGAAAAGAAAGATAAAGCTGTACCTTTTCGATCTTTTGCTTTATTTTTTGCCTCCACTGCAGCTTTTGCTTTTGCTCCCATTTCGGAAATACTTGCATCTTCCCACATAAAGAACGCATTGTCCAATTCTACTGCGTTATTTTGGTTCATACATTTGTCACTATGTGTCGAAAATTCCTCTTGCACAAGAAGTCGCTAAATAAAAATAATAACATTTTTGTTTATTATGTAGTATAATATATAAGTATTGTTTGAAAAATGCAAACACTCAATGGCCGGCTTGCAATACTTACTGTTAGAAATTTAAAGGTCATCTTAATGTTAATATCAACATAGTAATGATTGATTTGTTTTGGGTGCATCTTTTAAAATGCTAAGGAAGAATCGAAATATCTACATGTATAACTAAATCAGTCTTGCAAAAGATATCGTTTAAAATCGTTAAAAGGGGTACTGTTGATTCATTGGTATTAGTCGGATGTCCTTTAAATAAAGGTGAACAATAAATAGAAGTTTTCAATAAAACAAGGTTTGTATGCAGAATAGAGTATCCACAAAATGCATTGTTTTCTCCTCCCATGAAACTGGGTATAAACGAAAATAAATGAATGCCTTATATTGACGAAGTTTCATCCTCTGGGGGAAAATACAAAAAGGTGCATGTCCCCAATGTATTGAAACATTCAAACCAATACTCTAAATTGAATGGGTACCTTCCATCAATTAAACTGCTGAAAACTATCTTAGTTTCACTATAGTGGTACTCTGTTCTAGTTACGTAAATTAATAAAAATTCCAAGTGCCCATCTTTGATGTACATAAAAAAGGTAAGATAACAAAAATACCGAACTTCAAGGAAAATTCAAAACGGAAAGTCCTGTATCAAATGGCAAAATCAAAAGCTCAAACACATCAAACGAATGGAAAACAATTGTCATTTTCCTTACTTGGTACAGGCATTTCCTTGTGTAGACAATGGTTGATTAAACCTGGTTTTATAGCTAGCTAAACATCTCACTTGTATGATAGTCGCATAGAATTCCATTTTATTGACAACAATGTGTGAGTAGAAAAACAGACATAATAGATAAAAATGTCGACAATCGGGGTATAGCAGTCAAGATTGTGTCATAATTTTAATCACTATAAAAACAAACGGCTATGTCATCGAAGAAAAAACAAAATGGCATATCGACATTCTATAGACAAAACACATGAGCAAAAATGAAAGACAAGAATACAAAAAAAATACCAAAGCACAATAACACAATGGTGGGTTGTATAAATACCGAGCCACGCCAAAAAGATATTACCAAAAATGGAATAAACAGCAGTGGTTAAAAATATACAAAGACAAATAAAAAGAACAGTATAACACGTTATTAGGCTGTTAAACAACGTCAGTACCAAGAATCTATACTTCAAGACCATCATGTATTATTTGTGAAGTTTATCAATAAGGTCTTTGTATCTTCCGATTAACTTTTTTTTCGAAAAAGGACGGGAGGTTCTTTGACATAACCCTGGTTCATCAACTTTCTGCTCAGACACTGGATACGTTTTTTAAATTCTGGGTAGCAGCTGCAAGCTCTTACAAACATTCCCGCATTTTAAACCCGCTGCATTTTTATGCGCCTGTCCTAAGTCAGGAGCCTGTTGTTCAGTGGTTGTCGTTTGTTGGTGTGGTTCATAAGTGTTTCTCGTTTTTTATATAGATAAGACCGGTGGTTTTCCTGTTTGAATTGTTTTACACTAGTCATTTCGGGGCCTTTAATAGCTTGCTGTTCGGTGTGAGCCAAAGCTCCGTGTTGAAGGCCGTACTTTGACCTATAATTGTTAACATTTATACATTATGACCTGGATGGAGAGTTGTCTCATTGTCACTCATACCACATCTTTTTATTTATATTCCATTTTGAATGCTCTGAGTTGAAAAAGTAGGGGTTTTTTCGCACAAATTGGATACCTTTTATATACATCGAAGAACACACCCTTAACGTATATATAATCTTTTCAGAAAGTTTTGTATTTTTTTTTTAATTGGTCAAAAACCAGGAAAGTTACTCAAAGCAGGTACCCTGCTTTCGAAGCTCGTCCTTTCGTCCGCCCAACATTCTTCATGCAAATAGTAGAAGCCGGAATTGCACTATGTGCAACCCGCGGTTAAAATCTTTTACAGCACAGTTTTAACAGACAAGAACTAGAGGTTTATATATTACTTCTATGTAAATGAAATGACTTATGACATTGTATGATTCGTTTGATTAACATTTTCTCCTTTTTAGGTTAATTCCTAAATTAGATGTGTCACAAACGTGCTAAAAGTATGTTAAACTAGTAATTTAAAGTTATTGCGTACTTCACACGTCTCAAATGCATCATGAGTATCACAATAGGCACAAATAATAATATCAATTACTCACAAGGATAGGTTTGGTTAATTAGGCAAGGTTGGAAAATTGTGTCATGCATCAGATATAGTAATTTTTGTGACCTTTTTAAGAATGGTAGCTTGGGAGGTTTGTAGATCTGGTTCTGTAAGCATGATTAAGATGAGAGATGTAATAGTCTTTATTTGCATTTATCAGGAAGGCATAAAATTTGTATATAGCCCTTTACCTTTAATCTGTCAAAACTAACACGAACTTCGCCAAGAATTCTAGTTGCATACGGAATTAAAGAAACAATAATTCTTAGAAAGCTCAATGTACCGACAACAGCAAATGCCTGCAAAAGTAAATGACCAGGGAAATTATAGAAATGCTATGTAGTTTTCATTTTAAAGAGTAATTGAGAAGATGTTTTTTTTCTAATAATTATGATAGACTACAGGCAGTATAAGTCTCCCCAAAATTAAAATAATTGCGACAAAAAAGAAAAAATAATAAGATTTCAGGGTTGAAATTAGCGATGTTGTCATAAAACAAACCAGAATTTAAAAATTAAGACATATTACGAATAAACACCATTGAGATGGCACAGTCCTGGCAGATAAGTTCCACTGAATATTAATCTCTTTTGTTTTAGCTACAATTACTATGTTCTTTGAACTACTAGAATACATGTACGGTGCATTCATTTTAACAATAGAAAACGATCTGTGATATATATACAAGATACAATAACCCCAACAACACAGAAAACAAAAGATATGTATATATGTTAGTAATACGTTCCGAATTTATCTTAAAATTATGCCTTTGTTGTAAGCTTTTTAAATATATTTGTTGAATTTGGTGAGTTTAATTCTAAAACTTAGTGAAGTCTATTTACACTTCGTGACTTTGTCTGTTATAAAGTGTGTAACAACTGGCATCAAGTAAGGTATACAGAGTTAACTTACAGTAGAAGCAGATATGTCATTTCCAAAAGCTCTAAATGTAGATATCGTTGCTACTGATGCCAGTGTTGGAGTAACAGGGATAACGGCTGCGCTTATTGAATTCATAATGGCAGCAAACATTAAGAATTTCTTTTCTTGTTTTCTTATTTCTGTAAAAAAATTTGCAGATTTTTGAATTCACTCATTAGTTTTACAATTCAATGAGTATATTGCATGATAAAAGACCTTTACAACTCTCTGTAATAATATTATAGGGCGCACAATGCCATCTTTTTCATTTGGGTTAAAGTAAAAATTTATTCTGGTTGAAGAAAATGTTTAGCTGTCATAGTTAAGATTATTGAAAGTAAAGTTTGTTTAAATCCAATTTTCGGCGGTGTGAGGTAAGATTATTGATAGTAAAGTCTGTTTAAATCAAATTTTCGGCGATGTCAGGTAAGATTATTGAAGGTAAAGTTTGTTTAAATCAAATTTTCGGCGGTGTCAGGTAAGATTATTGATAGTAAAGACAACATTACCAGATATTGTGTGTTCAAATGGTTCTTCCCATGCGTACATCTTCAACAACTTCATACTATTGAGAACCTCTGTCATTTTTCTAACCTAAAATGATCGAGACGTTAATGATTTAAATAATTATCAATTATATCGCTTTTTTTTCGGTTTGTTAAAAAACAAGAAATATGTAAATATATTGCCGGCTTAATAATTGAAGGTATATTTGTATATAATACATACACGTTTGTCCGTATGCTGAAGGGTTTTTCTACGCACTATTTCGACGCCTTTTGTCAACACTCCCTAAAAAAGTAAAAAAAATACACATTCATAAAAGATATTGAATGAAGCGCAACAAAAAGGGTTGAAGATATATGGAGGTCATGCTACCGTCTTATTCACATTTTAACTATCTTAAATATAAAAATACGTAAATGTTTTCTACCGAAATATACTAATGTTGCCAGTTTTTATACTAATTCATTAAATAGAATAAATAAAATGTTAAACTTTCTTCTACAATTAAAATACATACGCCTTATGTCAAGCTATCTTATGCAAGTCATTCTTATTTTGAAATAACCTCATATTGAATACTCTGGGAAAAAATCCTTCAATCGCTTTTTTGTTGTATAATAGCAAATTTAAGAATACTTGCAGAAATGGGTAATGGATTGATATAAATCAATCAAATATGATGCTTAAAGATATATATATGTTACAGTGCGTTGTCGTAAATGAAAATAAAATTTTACAATGTTCGTGCGTTCGGAACGCTCATAACCATTTGAAAGCCAAGAGTCGATTTCACAAAAATACTTACGACTAAGATTGATCATAAGTCATAAACAAATCAGTATACAAAGAGTTTTTTTTGTGAAACCGACTCCAGGAATTTATAAATACGTAGAAACTTAAACGTTAGAAGTAAAAGGAATCTATAAAGAAAAGCCAAATTTATCTCAGGTCAACTGCAAACAACAATTTTAATATGTTGTATCAAATACGTCTTCGATGAGTTTAAAGTATGATTCATATGGATTCTTTTTGAAATGAAATATTTGAAAAGGAAATTATGTCTTATTGTTTTCAATCTTGATATTGAAATTTGATTCGTTTAGTCAAAAGTTATTAAGTTTAAACTGGTGTAGTTTTAGTGCATGTTAATCTCAAAAGCTTTGAGAACAGACTGTGTACCTGGAGTAAATAGCACAACAGAAAGATCCCCATTGCAATGAAACACCAGGGTCCTAGCAGGTAATATGTATATCCAGCACCGATAATCATGTATATTGGTAGAGCAAGAATGTATACAAAGGTCACACAGTTCACGTACACACGGATAGCATCACCTCCAAATATGTTGATAAGCTGAAATGTAAATACACATGTAAACATATATTTCATAAATTGTAAACATTTCCAACCCCCTGCTAAGGCAACTGATTTTGTTGCTTAATAATATACATGCTATGCAACAGTCGGATAGGCCGTTTGCATGTACTTTTTTAAATATCAACCTTATGAAATATTATGATCTGGGGTAAAAAAAAAACATTGGTTTAATATTTATGTATTTGTATAAAGTTAAATTTGATATTTTCACGAAAACCCTTTCAATTTTACAAAAGAATGATTTATTGATTTAATTTAATTATTTGATGTCGATTTTTTTTCTTTGCTATGTAGTTGAATTTAATGGCGGAAGATGTTCTCGAAGGGAAGTGGTGGACGAAAGAAAATTGTTCTAAACAAGAAATATAAGTGTATGTATATTTTGACGTTTTACGTTGTCATTTAGCTTTGACAGTGGGTGTAAAATTGTCCCCTTCAAGATATCTACAATGCCCTTGTACCTTCGATCCGCTACATTTTATTTAATCCATATCAATCATCGGCTTATCATGATTATTCGCTCTTAAATATTTAGATATATTCATATATTTCTGATAAATATTCTTAATAAAGGCGACAGTAGTTTACCAATGTTCAAATCTCTTAAATCGAGTAAGAATAGACATATCAAGGTATCAAACAAAAACTGAGAGTCTCAGAGCATCTATGACAATATGCATAAGGTAACATTGTGTCCAGAAAGTTATAAATATTACCTCGGCTAAACTCTTTCCTTTCACTTTTTGGAGTCTGAGGAGTTTTCTGTATGCCAATCCAAGAAATCCAGCCCGAAACCTTATACCTGTTAATATGATACAATGCCGTGTAGCTGAAGCCATTACTTGATATGTGATTTTCGCTGACGAACAAATGGAATCAATTTTGTTTGATGAAAGAGTGGATGTCAGCTAAATGAAGATAATTATTATGTGCACGGTACGCTATAAATCATCATATTAAAAACAATAACTACTCTTTTCTGTTGGTTTGTTTATATTGACTGTTACAAGAACACTTTTAACAAAGCTCTTAAGAGCAATTCTGTGTAACCACCAAAATCAAATGGCACACACCAAACCAAAATGCCCCATATTTGATGTAATTGTGTTTAGTAGGCTAAGATGAGAAAAAAATTATGTTACACAAAAATGATATGTTTTGTCGTTTCCATGGTAACTGATAGTGGTAGTCTGTACATGTCACAATGTGGAATAATGGCCTGAGATACAATTTGCAGAAATTCCTGTTGCTGTGTACATGTTGAACACAAAAAAGCACCTCAATATCAATATTTTTTACAACTTATTATGATATTATGAAAAGTTCTTTAAAAACTGAGAATACATTAATTTATACTTGATTTTCCCTAAAGAAAGTAGTCTTCATCAGCTATTTCTATGCTCAGATTTCAAGAAAAGCCAGCCATTTAACAGTTAATCATTAATATATTTGAATTGAACATTATGTTGTAAATAATAGATAAAACAAACATTTATGGGCAAATGAATCCCTACTAAAATATTTCATTGGAACTATGGTAAACAATGAGCGTTTGTTGTGATATTTTTGGTTATTGGGCCCACCAAATTACCTCCCTTTGAGGAGCTCTTTTGTTGCAGGGTAACGGAAAAAGAAAGTTGAATGGAGGGAGAATCATAAATATCGTCTGCTTAGTAGATATTATAGCCATGTGTACTGTGAATGACTATTTGAAGCACAATGAGATATGCAATGGTGACATTTTCCCACTGAAATCTCTTTCCAATGATGAACAAATATGTATTTTGTCTGAATGTTCTTGGGATACCATAAGGCATATTTTGTTAATAGTGAACAAAAGGGTAAAACATGCTACACAGAGGAACAAGTGATCAGTATGCTGGAGTTTTTTTATTGACAACATATTTGTTGAATTTGGAGGAAGACTTTTTCAACAAATTGTCGGCATTCCTATGGGAACGAACTGTGCGCCTCTCCTTGCCGACCTTTTCTTATTTTCATATGAATCGGAGTTCCTTCTGACACTTGTCAAAAACAAGAAGATCAAAGAAGCCAGGTTATTTAATTTCACTTTTAGATATATTGATGATGTTCTTTCCATTAACAATCCGAACTTTTCTGGTTGGGTTCCATTAATATATCCACCAGAACTAGAAATTAACGAAACAACAGACACGGCTTCCTCCGCCTCATTTTTAGACTTATACCTCGAATTTGATATACACAGTCATCTCAGTACCAGAATCTATGACAAACGAGACGATTTTAATTTTGAAATAATCAATTTCCCCCACCTTAGTAGCAATATACCAACTTCACCTGCATATGGGATATATATTTCCCAACTTATTCGGTATTCAAGAGCTTTTAGCTCCTACTCAGATTTTGTAAAACGTCACCAGTGTCTGAGCAGAAAGTTGATGAACCAGGGGTATGTCAAAGAACGTCTCGTCCTTTTTCTAAAAAAGTTCATCGGAAGGTACCAAGACCTTGTTGATAAATATTCCGTATCAACTTCACAAATAATACACGATGGTCTTGAAGTATAGATTCTGCGTACTGACGTTGTTTATCATCTTAATAAGTAAACGTGTTACTAGTATAGTATTCTTTTATTTGTCTTTATTAATATTACTTTTACTGTTAAGTTTGTTTTTTGAGATATCCATTTGACGTGACTCTGTACTTATGCATCCCATCATACTTTGAACGACAAAATTATTTTATTTATTAATATTACTTTTACTGTTAAGTCTGTTTTTTGCGATATGCATTTGACGTGACTCTGTACTTATGTATCCCGTCATACTTTTGACGACAAAATTATTTTATGTCTACCTGTGCGAATTTCAAACGCGCGATGTTACGCCAGTACTTAAAACCCTCCATCCTTTATGGATGGATTTTACATAGATAAATATAATCGTATAATAATAAAGCAAAATGAGGATGTTAAATTTGATGTATGCCTTTTTGTGCTTCTTCGTTACATTTGTTTGTTTTTATAGTGATTAAGATGATAACACAATGTTGACTGCTGTACCCCTATTTTTGACATTTTTACCTATTGTGTCTGTTTGTTTTGTTCACGCATCGTTGTCAATATAATGGAATTTGATGCGACTGCCATACAAGTGAGAGGTTTAGCTAGCTATAAAACCAGGTTCAATCTACCATTTTCTACATAAGAAAATGCCTGTACCAAGTCAGGAATATGACAGTTGTTATCCATTCGTTTGATGTGTTTGAGCTTTTGATTTTGCAATTTGATTATGACTTATATCTAGAAATTGACTATGAGGGTCGGTTGAAAACTAAACTTTACGACCAAAGAGATGATTTCAGCTTCCCAATTGTGAATTTGTATTTTTTAACCGAGAGTTCCAAATGGTGAAATTGAAATCATCATTTTGTAAATTTTACGGACGCCATCACGAGTTGGTTGACCGTTATGGAATATCCGTTTCACAGATGATATAGGATATGTTCCTTATGTCGTAACTACAATCCCGTTCCCTTTTCACGAATGTGACCTACCGAATTAGACTATTAACCCCTATTTGTGACATTTTTACCTACTAGTATTGTTTTTGTTTGTTTTGTTCACACATCGTTGTCAAAATAATGGAATTTGATGCGACTGTCATACAAGTGAGAGGTTTAGCTAGCTTTAAAACCAGGTTCAATCGTTCGATGTGTTTGAGCTTTTGATTTTGCCATTTGATTAGAGACTTTCCTTTTTGAATTTTCCTCGGAGTTCAGCATTTTTGTGATTTTACTTTTTTCTTTGTTGCAATCTGGATACACAGACAAACTAACAATATGCAATAAACATAAAGAAATATGCTTTGAGAATTTAAAAAGGAGAAAAAAAAGGCAGACATGTGGTATTTCTGCAGTCAACCCATTGATTTGCTGCCTCACCTCTTCAAAAGCTGGTGACCGCCATGTCAGTGTGGAAATGCACACCAATATTGCCAGGAGTACAGGTGTTTTCATTCCTGTTGGGACACGTTAGTATATAGTCAGCAATTATTGAATCAATAAAAAACAAATTAGTTTGATTCAGAATGTGAGAGAAAAAATAATCTGGTCAGCAAGGGAAGAAAAAAAGAAAATAATTAAATTTGAAAAAAATATTGTCATGCCGCGTCGCTAAAAAACATTCTGACCAGAAATAAAACTGACTTCCCTTTTTCAAGTTAAATGGTCCTTTCCATATGGCAATAACCCTCTCTCAGAATACTTTTTTCTTCCTTTGCTGACCAGAATATTTTTCCACACACTTCAGAATCAAAATCCGTTTTCAGAGAAAAAAAAAAACATGCCCCCCTCCCTTTTCCAAGTTAAATGGTTGGTTCCTTATAATTCTGGCAGGCCTTTAAAAAAGAGTCTGTTTGCCGTATTGTTTTAAGGCCTTCAAGGCCTTGTAAGGAAGTATATCTAGGAACCTTTCCATACTGTTCAGTGTTGTAAAAATATGCCCACTCATATTGAGTTGGCAGTGTCTGCGCGTACCCGCATGGGGGTACGCTTAACCAAATTGACTTTCATAGGTTACGCGTACCTGCAATCGATTTTATAATAAACTGTCATATGATCGGGAATGAAACGTGAAAGATACATGAAAATTATCGGTTATTTCCTGATTTTGCGAATTCAGTGAAGATAATGAAAAATAGTACTTTTTAATTTGTATTTAATGTATTAGTTAGAAAAATAGAAATTAAATGTAAATGCACATTAAAAGAATAAAATAATACTGAATTTGAATAAATATATGTTTAAAAAACTCGAGTTTGAAAGTTATTTTCTAATAAAATTCGAAACAGAAACAAAAATTTTAAAATATCTAAAACGACTAAAAAAAAGTTTGAGTGTATACACAATTTAAAGTAATACGATAAAATTCCAAACAATTTAAAACTATATGCATTTGATAATTATGTATCCATTCAGAACTCCGGATTTATAGTTTGCTACTTCAATCTACTGTTGCAACTGAAATATGATAAAATATGTCAGGTCTTCATATATAGGTAAAAAGGAAAATTAAGTGTTATGTATGATGGATAAATTTATTTGAATTAATAATGTGTTATATATAATGATAATCTATTTTATTTTTCATCATTAATGCTAAGAACTTGAAATGTTCTTATTTTGTTTCTGTTTTTCTCACTTGTTTGTAATGCATTTTTTAATTTGATTCTCATCTAAAAAAATATCGTATATTCCATTATTACATTATATCAATAATTATAGTTATTATTATTTAAAGACTAACCAGGAGCGTTTCTACGAAAGCGTATTAGGGACGTAGTAAAAATAAAATCGGCATTGAACTTTTTTTTTCAAACTTTTGACATTTCAAATCTTAAAATCTCTGAGAGTAATAATTTATTTTTCACTTATTGCGATAATTTCCGGATTGATTTAAATTTTATTCCCGATCCGATGACATTAAATTATAAAACCAGAGGCGGATACGCGTAGCCTAAGAAGGCTAATTTGGCTACGCGTACCCGCATGCGGTTACGCGAAGACACTGCCTATGGAGTTTTCACTGTCCATTATTGACTCTATATCATTTAAAAAAATACTTTTTTACCATTAATGTGTCAAAATCAAACCTTATAAATATTGATATTTTTTTACCATCTTATATTGATTTTGAAGGTTTGGGAAAAAAAAGGGGGGTTGATGCTATCAAGATATTTACTATGATAGAAATTTGAATAAGGTGATTTCATGAAAAGAAACAAAATCTCATTTTGATCATTTCTATCGGAAGCTCAAGCA